AAAAAAATATTTTTTTTTTTTCTTTTTTTCTTTTTTTTTTTGGCCTAATGCAGAATCCCCCCCTGGCTGCTTCACTATGGAAGCCATTCTGAAACAGCCAGGGGGGGATTCTGCATGAGCCAAAAAGCAGAGACAGGACCAATTGTCAAAATTTTGGTGTCGATCATTCGAATGCATCCTGGACACTACAGAAAATGGGCTAAAAGTGTTAAAAACCGGAATTTTCCTTTAAAATCATTTAATTTATTTTTGGGGCCCGAAACGAAACAAAAGAACAACTGAATTACATCAGTTTGAGAGAAATTAACCTACAAACTTAACCATAGATGGATAAATCAGCTAGCAGATGCGAGGGGTGCTGGTGCCAACCTACAGCAGTCTAGGGGTCAGAGGCAGGGTCACCCTGGCCAGCTCACCAGTCTATTGCAGGGCAACACAGAGACAAACAGGACACACACACACACACCCCTAATTTAAAGAAGCCAATTAACCTAACAGTCATGTTTTAGGACTGCTGAAGGAAGCTGGAGTACCCGGAGAGAACCCACGCATGTTCAGGAGAACAGGCAAACTACATGCAAAAAGACCCCAGGTTGGGAATCTAACCCAGAACCTTGCTGCAAGGCAGCAGTGAGCAGCCCTATCCGTTGTTAACGTTTGTTATTTTTTGCTATTTAACATGTTGCATGGTTTCTGCTAAGGGGCAAAATAAAGCTGCCACATCTACAGAATTAATGAATAAATGATAAAGGAATAAATGAGCTCTTTCTTTAAGACTGTATTGGCACATATATTAACCGTTATCACAGTATAAAAATTAAATACAAGACTTTATTTTGAAAAACCAAAGGCTTCCCTTCTTCCTGTGAAGCTAGAACTGCTGTAGCTCCTCCCACTGAAACTAGAGAAGACGTCTGAGTAGAAAAAAGGAAGCTAAGGAAGGATGCGGCTTCATGTTCCTTTCAGAACATCTTTTGGTTTCATATATCATCATATTTTCAGAAGATGAGGGAACCTGAGAAAGATGTCTGAGGTAATGTTAGATGTTCAGTGATGCTATTGTGATGCATTTCCCTGAAGTCCTGCAGAGCAGGAGGATTCTATAGGGTTCTATAGGCTGCGAACCGTTCATTCAGATGATAATTAGAGCAGAGTTGGAATTTAAACTGTGAATATAATAAATAAAAGAAACCAGTCCATTTGAAACGGTCGTGTCACTGGAGGAGTCTTCCCTCCAGGTCAGCTCAGCTCTAACAAACAAACCAAAACATAAACCATTTCTTAGTTACCTGAGCATTTAGAGACTCCATCTTCACCTCCGTCCCACCGGTGAACACAGTGCTGGGAGCGAGACCTCCGAGCTCTACAGAACCCTGTGGATCACAGAGGTGACGGTTTAATCCCCAAAAAGCTGCTTCTATGGAAAAGGTTACATTTTCTATCTCTACTCTTACATCTTAGCTCCAGACAACAAACCGCTCACTAATTCACAGCGAGAAAAAGCGAAAATTTTCCCATGTCGGTAAAATAAATAATCTTAAATCTGCCGTTTTTTTCTGTGTGCGCTGGTGGCTGATATACCCCTCCCCTTCCAGACACGGCGGCGTGTGAGTAATCATGGGACTCCACCGATCCAGTCAGAAGCATAAATAAAGGCGATGAAGCCTGGTTTATGCTCAGAAACCAGGTGACCTGCGTGTGTCGCAGGAAACGCAGATAAAATGGGGCATAAATGAAAAATATCTGCGTCATACCTGTGACAAGCTAACTGCGACACACTGAAGGAGCGTCTAACTCAGTTGTAAACAAAATTACATTAGTTAATCCTGTGGAGGCAAGCGAGAGCAGAGAACGTGTTTTCAGAGCAGAGAACGTGTTTTCAGAGTGGAGCGCGCGGCGCAGCGGTTTTGAGTCAGGGTGTGCGAATTTAAACAATGAACATTGTTCTCACTGCATCTCAGTTCGGTGGCAACAAAATAAAGTTGAGCAAAAGAACACAAAATGCAAAGTTTGACTGAAAAAGGTTCCGTGTGCAAAAAAGTTTGGAGAGGAAACATTTTTATCCTGTTTAATGAGATATTGTTGAATGTTTAAACCTGAATGGTTACAAGACTAATATTTAATTGAAATGAATAGGTTATGTGATTTATTCAAAAAATAAATGATAAATAAATCAGTTGCATTTCCTGCACAGGCCTTTGTTTCTGGTAGAGGAGCCGTTCTGTCAGATCAGCATACCTATAGTCAATACGCATGCTCAAGAACTCAGATGTGTTTTTCACTTTAGTTTTGTAGGAAATATAGACTTTAACCCATTTAGGCCGGGAAAGCATTAATGCATTTCTACCATTGAAGCCGGGGGCGCTGTTGCGTAATTCTACCATTGACGCCGGGAGAGCAT